TGAACAGACAGGGAGACCTTGGGTGGGAAAGCGCTGCTCTCGGGGGCGGAAAGGAAGGCAGGGGTCAGTCCCACCCACCCCCATAGCAAAATGTTGTCTTGCTGGGGGGGGGGGGTTCAGGGAAGCACTGGGAGTGTGGGACTCCACCAGTGAATGCCAAAAGAATTACCGGGAGAAGGCAGCCTGCAGCCACTCCAAGCCCTTAAATCCAAGTGTCGGCCATCAAATTCAGCGTCAGCCGCTCTTCGGCACCAGAGTCCTCAATGCAAGCATGGCTTCTTGTGCTTCCGGAGGGGCCCGCATGGCTTGGCACAAGACTCGCACCCAGAGGGCTGCATTGCATGTGATGAGGTTGCTTTTTCACCGGGGACCACTTAAAAGGGATGCACGGATCCCTTCTTCATCTGATTTGGTGCTGTGGGTTTTTGCTCCGTTTTTGCTCCATTCTCAGTTTGCTTTGGGATTTTTCTTGCTCGAATTGTTCGATCATTTATTCCGTCAGCTTTTTTAAAATGCCAGCGCACGGCAGCGGGTGGCTGTCTTGGTGGCTGAGCGCCACTGAAGGCGGCCTAGCCTTAGTCCAAGGTGCAAAGGTCCCGGTGCCCTTTGCTGCTGCGTGTTCCCGTGGCCTAATCCTGTGCCACCTTTGCCGTCCAGGGCTGCAGGTGGTCCTGTACATAGACGAGGCAGACTACAACCCCTTCTTGGTCACGGCAACCGGGGCAAAGATCGTGGTCCACGGTCAGGATGAGTATCCCTTCATCGAGGACATCGGCACGGAGATCGAGACGGCGACGGCCACCTCCATTGGGATGCACTTTGTGAGTGGCCCCCCTCCGGTTGCCTCCCCCCCGCTTCCCTTCTGGGTGTTCAGCAAGGGGCCACGGAGCCCTCTGAATACCGAGGCAGGTGCCTCTGCCCCCCCCCGCCCCTGAGGGCCACCAAGCTCCAGACAGAGACACCCATAATGGCCACCCACCCATGGCCTCCATCCCACCCACCAGCAACCTCCTCTCCCTCTCCCTCTTGCAGACGACGTCCCGCCGGCTCAGCAAGCCTTACAGCAACTGCACGGAGGACGGCTCGGACGTCCCCGTGGAGAACCTCTACAACAAGAACTACTCGTTGCAGGTGAGACGCCCAGGTGGTCGTCCCGGTCAGTGGGCTCAGGCGAGGGGTGGAGGCTGCAGCGGGCAAAGGCCGCCAGGCAGGTCTGGCCAGCCGATCGGAACTGGACACCCTCTGAAGCTCACCGGGCTACTGGGTCCTGGGCCAGACCCTCCTGCCTTCAGCCAGGAGGAGCCCCCAGGATGTTCTGTCGCAGCCCCAGCCATCCTGCTGCTGGGAAAATCTTCCCTGGTCTCTCTCAGGAGATACTTGGCATGGGGATGCCAGGGGCTGGAACCCCTAAGCCCCAGGGGTGCTCCATAGCCAGCGCTTGGTTTTAGAGGCATTAATAATGCCCCTCCGCCAAGTGCTCATTGTGAGTGCGCTGCAGAGGCCAGCCTCTGTGCGGAAGGCAGGCTTTTGCCCCCGAGGAGAACTCTGCTGTGGCTACTGGCCTGGGCACCCAGTTGGGCTCAATGGCTAGCAGGCGATCCGTCCCTCCTGGCCGTGGGATTGAACCGCGCCTTCCTTTCTCCCTGGCAGATCTGCCTGCACTCTTGCTTCCAGAAATCCATGGTGAAAACCTGCGGCTGCGCACAGTACACCCAACCCCTGCCGGCTGGGGCCGAGTTCTGTAACTACAAAAAATACCCGAACTGGAGTAAGTTCCCCTCAGAGGCGAGCTGCCTCGGCCCCCTTCTGCTCCCCCTCCAGGCCTGGGCAGGGAGTCCCCCCCCCCCTGAGCTCAAGGAGGAAAGCATCAGGACAGAGAGGGCGGGCTTTCTCCCCTAAATGCTCGGCCTCTAAATGGCTTCCTGCATCCCAGCTCTGGAGAGCCCCAGCCCAGGAGCAAGGCCACCTCGGGCAGAGGGGGGGGCACCTCTTGCGAGGTCCGGCTGACCTCCCCTGGAGAGGGCTAGGGCATCTCTCTTGGCTGGCCAAGGAGCCAGGAGGCTAGAAGGCCATGGTTGCTGCTGCTGCCACCTCCTGTTGCCCCCGGGGGTGGAAGGCTCAGGGGGGGGCCCTGGTTCTCTCTCTCTCCTCCACCTGGGCAGCTGTGGGTGGGTCTCTGGGGGTGTGGCCAAGGGCACCCAGCCATCCTCAACGCCCACCCTGGCCTGCTCTTTCGCCAGTGTACTGCTACTACAAGCTCCACAAGCAGTTTGTGAAGGAAGAGCTTGGCTGCCAGCAGATCTGCAGAGAGGCCTGCAGGTAAGAACCCTGGAAGACACAGAAGGGGGGGGGGAGGGGGAGAGGGAAACTG